ACTCGCTCAGGTCTCTACGCTGTCCTCCGCAGCCTCTGGCAAGCTGCAGTGTGAGTTGGAAGTGGGTGTCTGTAGGGACCCCTCATGACACGGGCCTTACTTAGAACAAGCAGACAATTCTAAGCCCTGGAGGTGACTCTGGGATGGGGCCGCCCCCCCCGGGGCGCACACAGGTGTGAGGCGCACAGCGGGGCGGGTTGGGGTGGATTGGTAAGTGAATCCACCTGCAGATGCTGGCGCGGGGAGCTATTTCACGTGTGTGCAGCAGCCCGGCTCGCGCCTCCCGTGGACCCTCGGCCGGCGCGGCGCGGCGCGGCTCGGCTAGCGGTAAGTGTCCTTCCTTAAGTTGGCTTTAGGGCGAATTTCGGCAGATTTAACAAACGGTATGAGTGATTTTGTGTAAGTTTATCTTCACATGTCTTATTTTCACATCAGCTTTCTTAATTTTAAAATGTTTATTTGAGAGGGAGAGAGCGCGAGTGGTGGATCCCATCCGCTTGCTGGCTCACTGCAAATTCCAGGCGGTGGGAATTCATTCCAGGCCTTCCCGGCGGGGTGTCAGGGACCCCAAGAGTTGAGTGTCTGCTGCCTCCCAAGATACACATTATCCGCAATGTTGGAAGTGGGAACACAGCCGGGACTCGCACTCAAGCACCAAGTGCCTCGCCTGGGTTTGTTTTGTTTTGTTTTTTGTTTGTTTGTTTTGTTTTGGCAGATAAACATTCTGTTGCCCTCGACTGCCTAGAAAGGGCTGTTGCACAAAAGTCATCGTGTGGAGTCCTTTCAAGGTTGTCCTTTTTTTGCTTTTTGCTTTGTGTTTTCATCTGAAAGATTTTACAGAGAAGAGAGATATCCTTCACCTGCTGGTTTATTCCCCAAACAGTCCCAGAGCTGGTGGAATCCAAAGCCAGGAGCTTCCTTTGGGTCCCCCACATGGGTGTGGGTTCCCACGCACTTGGGCCATCCTTTGCAGCCCTCCCAGGCCGTCAGCAGAAAGCTGGGCTGGAAGTGGAGCAGTCTGGGCTTTAAATTGTCCCCGTATGGTGTTCTGTTAGCCTACAACACTCGGCCCCTGGATTCTCCATTTTGTCCCAGTATCCCAAGTGTCTGTCTGTCCACAGATGCCTCAGTCCCAGTAACTCCAGTCATGTATTTATTTATTTATTTTATAAATAAGCATTTTATTTATTTTAAAGATTTTATTTTTGTTGGAAAGGCAGATATACAGAAAAGAGGAGAAACAGAGAGGAAGATCTTCTGTCCGATGAGTCACTCCCAAAATGGCTGCAGTGGCCAGAGCTGAGCCGATCTGAAGCCAGGAGCCAGGAACCTCCTCCAGGTCTCCCACACAAGTGCAGGGTCCCAAAGCTTTGGGCCGTCCTCCAATGCTTTTCTAGGCTACAAGCAGGGAGCTGGATGGGAAGCAGAGCTGCTGAGATTAGAACCAGCGCCCATATGGGATCCTGGTGCGTTCAAAGCGAGGACTTTAGCTGCTACACTTGTGCCCTCTACTCATGTATTGAGCCTTGAAATCAAATAAATGGGTCTTTCAGATTTCTTCTTGTTAATATGGTTCTATGGGGGGGGCCTGGTGCAGTAGCCTAGAAGCTGAAGTCCTCACCTTGCATGCACAGGGATTCCATATGGGCGCTGGTTCTAATCCCAGCAGCCCCACTTCCCATCCAGCTCCCTGCCTGTGGCCCGGGAAAGCAGTCGAGGACGGCCCAAAGCTTTGGGACCCTGCACCCACGTGGGTGACCCAGAAGAGGCTCCTGCCTTCGGATTGGCTCAGCTCCAGCCGTTGCGGCCACCTGGGGGTGAATCATCGGACAGAAGATCTTCCTCCCTGTCTCTCCTCTCTGAATATCCGCCTTTCTAATAAAAATTTTAAAAAAGTAAAGCTTTTTAAAAAAAATAGTTCTTGGGGCCTAGCACACTGGCTCATTTGCCTAATCTGTCTGTAAGTGCTGGCATCCCATATGGAGGCTGGCTTGTGTTTCAGCTGCTCTGCTTCCAATCCAGCTCCTTGCTTATGGCCCGGAAAAGTAGCAGGAGGTGGCCTAAGTCCTTGGAACCCTGCACCCACATGGGAGATGTGGAACAAGCTCCCGGCTTTGGATTGGATCATTTCTGGTCCTGTGGCCATTTGGGAGCGAACCAGCAAATGGACGATCTTTGTGTCTTCTCTCTATAAATCTGCCTTTCCAATAAAAATGAATAATCTTTTCAAAATATAGAAGATGCAAATGGTTGGGCCCGGCACGGTGGTGCAGTGGCTAAGAAGATGCAAATGGTCTGTTCCAGAGTCCATACACATGGTAAAACGCCCTGTCAGGGTTTTGGTGGGAGTTGTGTTACGGCTGAGTATCAGTTTGGAGAGTCGCTGTCTTTGCCTGGTTGGGTCCTGTGGCCCGTGAACACGGTCTGTGTCTGTGTTGAGCTCCTTGCTGCTTTCCTCGGTGTGGGGTGGTCTTCCGTATGCAGACCTGGAATGTGCTCGGCTAAGTTTGCATTTGTATTTCTCTTCCTCTCGTTGCATTCAACCTTCTTGTTACTTGGAAGGCAGAGAATCAGAGATTTGCCACCTAGCAATTTCAAGCCCCAAATGGCTCCGACGGCTGCTCTTAAGCCAGGCCGAAGCCAGGAGCCTGGGATGGCGTGCTAGTCTCCCACGTGGGTGACGGGGACCCATATACTTGAGCTGTCACCAGTTCCCTCCCAAGCTTGGGAGTGGAGCCAGGACATGAATCTAAGCACTCTACTCTCAGATGTGGTGCTGTCAAACCATCTCGGCCATTTTGCCAAACACCCACCCTCCAAAGCGGCGTTTTTACTTTGGCAGCCTCGTACTTGGCGTTCGCTGCTAACCTACAGGAATACAGCCGTCCTTGTGTGTTGGCCTCGCTCCATAACTGAACTCGCTTATTAGTTCTGGGAGATTTTATTTTTTGTGTGTGGGGAGAGCAGTTCATCTCCGGAGATGCTCATGAATTTGGATCAAAACAGCCTTATTTTTCCGTTTGAATCTTTCTTTGTTTCATTTTCTCATATTGCGTGGGCTAGAGTTTCTGTGTGGACAGAAGCAACAAGAGGGGCGACTGCTGAACCTGGTGGTGAAGATGCGGGGATGCCTGGTCCTGTCTAGGAGGGCCTGAATCGCATAGCTGCCGCTGGCCCCTGGCGCCAGCTCCCTGCCACACCAACCCTGGAGGCAATGGGGGTGGCCAGGTATGTTCCTCCACCTCATGTGGGAGATGTGGATTGAGGGCTTTGGTCTGGCCCAGGCCTGGCTGTTGAAGGCATTTGAAGAGTTAATTAGGGGATGGAAACTGTTCCTCTGTCTCTTTGCCTCTCAAACGGATGTAAAGAATAATGAGTAAATTTTCATACCTAGTCCCTGATCTTACCAGGAAAGCTTTCAGTGTTTCGTCATCTAATATGTCAGATCTAGGACGTCCCTTCCTCCTTCTCTTTCTTTTTTTTTTTTTTTTTCTTATTTCTATATTTGAAAGAGCTACAGAGAGGGGCCCAGCATGGTAGCCTGGTGGCTAAAGTCCTCACCTTGTATGTACAAGGATCCCATGTGGCCACTGGTTCTAATCCGTGCGGCTCCTCTTCTCTTCCAGCTCTGCTTGTGTCCTGGGGCAGCCCAAAACCTTGGGACCCTGCACGGGAGACCTGGAAAAGGCTCCTGGCTCCTGGCTTCAGATTGGCTCAGCCCCAGCCGTTGTGCCTGCTTGGGGAGTGAACCAGCGGATAGATCTTCCTCTCTGTTTCTCCTCCTTCTCTCTGTATATGACTTTCCAATTTAAAAAATAAGATAAATTTTTTGAAAGAAAGAGCTACAGAGAGACAGATTCTCCATCCACTGGTTCCTTCCCAAGATGGCCACAACAGCTAAGGTTGAGTAAAACTGGACCCAGGAGGGCCTGGCGCGGTGGCGCAGTGGTTAAGGTCTTCGCCTTGCATGCCCGGGATCCCATATGGGCGCCGGTTCTAATCCCGGCAGCCCTGCTTCCCTTCCAGCTCCCTGCCTGTGGCCTGGGAAAGCAGTTGAGGACGGCCCAAAGCTTTGGGACCCTGCACTTGCATGGGTGACCCAGAAGAGGCTCCTGGCTTCAGATCGGCATAGCATTGGCCATTGCGCTCACTTGGGGAGTGAATCATCGGACGGAAGATCTTCCTCTCTGTCTCTCCTCTCTGTATATCCGCCTTTCCAATAAAAATAATAAAAAAATAAATCTTTTTTTAAAAAAAACTGGATCCAGGAGCTTCTGGGTTTCCCATGTAAATGACAGAGAGCCAAGTAGTAGATTAAAGAGCAAAGAACAGCAGAGGCCTCGCAAGTGGAGGACTCATCACTTCCAAGGGATGAGGGCCTGGGATGTATTTGACCTCACAGCCAGCAGGATGAGCTGCTTCTCAGCCACCATGTCTTCAGATTCATCCACACTGAACTTAGTAAAGCCCCACTTCGAAAAGTGGATCTTCTGACGACCAGGGAACTTGAACTTGGCCCTGCATAGGGCCTCAACTCCGTGCTGCTTGTCCTGCAGCTCGGTGCAGATGGACATGAGGACTTGGCCAACGTGAACCCTGGCTACTGCGCCTTGGGGCTTTCTACTGGCACTCCACACACCTGCCTGCAGCCTAGCTGAGGACCAGCACGAGGTCACAAGCAGGAATGGCCACTTTCTTTTTAAAGATTTATTTATCAGAAAGTCAAATTTACAGAGAAGAGAGACAGAGAGGAAAGATTTTTTCCATGCACTGATTCTCTCTCCAAGTGGCCACAATGGCTGCACCTGAGCCGATCTGAAGCCAAGGGCTAGGAGTGTCTTCCGGGTCTCCCACGCAGGTGCAGGGTTCCAAAGCTGCTTTCCCAGGCCACAAGCAGGGAGCAGGATGGGAAGTGGAACAGTTGGGATTAGAACCGGTGCATGTAAGGCAAGGATTTTAGCCACTACGCTACTGTTCAAGGAGAAATCTCCACTTTAAAGGACTGTCTCCAAGGTCCCTTAGGGCAACCCATACAAGCAGGTTGCACACACTACCAAGGAGGCCGCCGCTTGCAGCCACTGCACACCAGGTCCCATGAACTAAGGGAGCTGGTCGGCTTAACTAGCAGCACTCTTTTCCCCCAGCCCCTTAGCAGGTTGCTGGGTCAGAAGTCAGACAGCTGGGAATTGAACCAGTACCCCTATGGAATATTGGTGTCACAGGTGGCATTTTAACCTACTGTGCCACGGTGTGGACTCCAGGTATGGGATTTTTGTAGATTTTTTTTTTTATTAAGAATGTGTCAGCGTAACTGTTCTGCTCCCTGGACATTTTTTCTAAAAAAATATTCATTTACTAAACAAAAATTTTAAAAAGATTCATTTATTTCTAAAAAGTTACACATGTGAGAGATAATAGAGGGAAAGACAAAAAGAGATCTTCACCTGTTGGTTCGTTCCCCACGTGGTCACGGCAGCCAGGACTGGGCCAAGTTGAAGCCAGGAGCTAGGAACTCCTTCTGGGTCTCCCACGTGGGTGACAGGGCCACCTTCCACTGCCTCCAATAAGGGATGCAGCTATCTCGAGACAGTTGAGGGCCTGGCGCGATGGCGCAGTGGTTAAGGTCCTCACCTTGCACGCCCGGGATCCCATATGGGCGCTGGTTCTAATCCCGGCAGCTCCACTTCCCATCCAGCTCCCTGCTTGTGGCCTAGGAAAGCATTGGGAGGACGGCCCAAAGCTTTGGGACCCTACACCCATGTGGGAGACCTGGAAGAAGGCTCCTGGCTTCAGATCGGCATAGCATTGGCCATTGCGCTCACTTGGGGAGTGAATCATCGGACGGAAGATCTTCCTCTTTCTCCTCTCTGTATATCTGCCTTTCCAATAAAAATAAAATAAATCTTAAAAAAAAAAAAAAGACAGTTGAAACCACTGCCACATCACCTGGCCAATCTGAACATTTTTGTCTTGCCTGTGGGATGCCAGTGGTGTCTGAATCCCTTGCTGGGCAAGGGGTGACTGTCCAGTCCAGGGTCTCCTCGGTAGACCTTGGCTGCGATGCTGCAGGCTGCAGGCAGGAGTTCAGCCCCCTTGAGCGTGTCTGCTGGCCCTGGGCGCAGGAGGTCATCTTCCTTACTTGTTGGGAGAAAAGTCCCTGCTCCCCTCCTTGACCTTGGCAGGGCTATTGTGGGACCTCATGGCAGCCTCGGGAGGCAGGTGTTCTGTGTCTTGCTCCTCTTTTGCTGGTGTGACAACAGCTTTTCTGGAGTAGGTTGCCCTCCTCAGTTCTCTGGCTTGCTAGCTTGTGCCTTTCCTGGCCCTTTGGCCCTCGAGGCAGCAGGCTGTTAGCCTGTGCTTGGGGGCACTTCTGGGTTGCTGAGTGCTTAGCCTCCAAGATTGGGCCCGCCCTCTCGGGTGAGTCCTCGGATCCCAGGCCCTCTCCACCTGTTGTCTGTGTGTGCTTTACCGAGCGTGTCTGGGTTGTCACTGCACTCAAACCGGGACAGTCACACCCCACCTGTCTGGAGGCAGGAGTCTCACAGACAGGTCTTGCCATCTTTTTTATTTCAAACTTGAAGATGTGTTGTGGCAGACCATGAACATTGATAAAGATAAGTTTTATCTATTTGAGTGGCAGAGTAACAATGGGGGCGTTGAGGGACAGGAGTGGCAGAGAGAGATCATTCCTCTGCTTGTTCACTCGCGCAAATGGCTCTGACAGAACTGGGCTAGACTGAAGCCACAGGAGCCAGGCAGTCCATCTGGATTTCCCACAGGGCTGACAGGGGCTCAAAACACCTTTGGGTCATCTTCTGCTTTCCCAGCTTACGTTAGCTATGTCAGAAGGTGGAGTAGCCAGGACTCAAACCAGCAATCCAACATGGGATGCCAGCATCACAAGTGGCAGCTTACCTGGTGGCACCACAGTGCTGGCCCCGTGATGGCTCGTTCTGTGTGGTCACTTTGCAGAGCTGGGAATGGCGCCCGGTTGCTGGGCTGGCCACTTGGAGGTGTCGTGTGGATGTCCTCTTCATCCACAGGCTTTGAGTGGAGCAGGGGACCTTTCCAAATGGCCTCATCTGACGGGTTGAAGCCCTGGGGAGGGCAGAGAAGGACTTGGGCCTCATGACGTCATTGCATTCCATCTGCCCTGGCAGTGTAGCCCGTTGGCCTGCCCATCCAGATCTGTACTTGGCAGTCCACATGGTGATGAACCGTGGAAGTTGATTCCTTAAAATAAGTCGTGTGTGTATGTGTGTGTAAATGTTTACACTCACTTGCTCCACTTTCTCTGGAGAATGCGGACTAATTAGTGTGGTTTCTACATTCCAAGAATCAATTATTTTCTTTGTTCCATATGCATCGAAAAAGAGCGTGGGTGTGGGTGAGGCTGCTGTCTGGGACACCTGTGCTCCTTGCCGAGTGTCCCATCTCCATTCCAGCTCCTAGCTCATGTGCACTTGGCAAGGCAGCAGGGAATGGCTCGAGTTCTTGCGTTCCTGCTGCATCCATGGGAGACCCGGATGGACTTCCTGTCCCGGCCCTGTCTTTGGTGGGCATTTGGCGGGGGTGAACCGGTTGATGAAAGCGCTTCCTCTGTCTCACCCTCTGTGATACTCTACCTTCCAAGTACATAAAACTGCTTTGTAGAAGATTCTAGTTCAGGAAGCCAGCTTCTGAGATCAGGGGATCCCAGGACTGCATCTCTACAGATCCCAGAGAACCTGTCCTTTTTTTTTTTAAGATTGATTGATTGGAAAGGCAGATGTACAGGGAGAAAGAGATAGAAATATCTCCCATCCACTGGTTCATTCCCCAAGTGGCCACAACAGCCGGAGCTGAGCTGACCCCAAACCAGGAGCTTCTTCCGGGTCTCCCACACGGGTGCAGGGTGCCAAGGCTTTGGTCTGTCCTCGACTGCTTTCATATGCTACAAGCAGGGAGCTGGATGGCAAGTGGAGCACCCAGGATTTGAACTGGCACCCCTATGGGATCTTGGTGCATGCGAGGTGAGGAAGTAGCTACTAGGCCTCTGCGCTGGACTGAACCCATCCCTTGCCACCCAGGCAGACATTGCCAGTGTCCCTTGGCATCCGGCTTGGTCACTGCAACCTTTGCCCTCGTTCTCTCACTTTCTCTCCTGTGTTTCTGCATCTCCTCTTCTACAGGACACCTGTCATTAGGGTGAGCATCCATTTGAGTAATCCAGGATAATCGTCTGCATTCAAGATCCTTGTCTTAATCCCGTCTCAAAGGCAGCCTTTCCAAATTAGATAGCATCCCTGAGTTGCGGGGATTAGGACTCAGGCAAGTGTTCGGCCTCAGCGGATTACAACCTTGAGGAAGGTGATCTATCTCCCTGTGACTTTGAACTCTTGCTGTGTTTCTATTGTCTCTGCCATTTGTGCTGTTTTGCTAGCAGTTTTATCTAAGTGTTTTTGTTTTTTTTTTTTGAGATTTATTTTTAAGAGGCAGATTTGTAGAGAAGAGAAGAGAGCTTCCATCCACTGGCTCATTCTCCAAATGGCTGTAATGGCCAGAGCTGAGCTGAAGCCAGGAGCGCCCTGTAGGACTCGCACATGGGTGCAGGTTCCCAAAGTTTTGGGCCATCCTCCATCCTGCTCTGCTTTCCCAGGCCACAAGCAGGAAGCTGGATGGGAAGTAGAACAATCAGGACCCAAACCAGCGTCCATATGGCATCCTGTCACTTGCAAGGCGAGGATGAGCCAATTGAGCCATCATGCCAGTTCTTACAGTTGCATTTTTACAAAGATTTTATTTAAAAGACAGAGTGGGGGCCTGGCGCGGTGGCGCAGTGGATAAGGTCCTCGCCTTGCATGCCCGGGATCCCATATGGGCGCCAGTTCTAATCCCGGCGGCCCCTCTTCCCATCCAGCTCCCTGCCTGTGGCCCGGGAAAGCAGTCGAGGATGGCCCAAAGCTTTGGGACCCTGCACCCGTGTGGGAGACCCGGAAGAGGCTCCTGGCTTCGGATCGGCATAGTATCGGCCGTTGTGCTCACTTGGGGAGTGAATCATTGGACGGAAGATCTTCCTCTCTGTCTCTCCTCTCTGTATATCCGCCTTTCAAATAAAATAAATCTTTAAAAAAAAAAAAAGAGTGGGGCCTGGCGTGATGGCACCTGTTTATGAAGCTCTTCCACTTCCCATCCAGCTCCCTGCTTATGGCCTGGGAAAGCAGTTGAGGATGGTCCAAAGTCTTGGGACCCTGCTGCACATGGGAGACCTGGGAGAAGCTCCTGGCTTTGGATCAGCTCAGCTGTGGCCTTTGTGGTCACTTGGAGAGTGAACCAGTGGATGGAAAAACCTTCCTCTCTCTCTCCTCCTCTCTGTATATCTGACTTTCCAATGGGAAAAAAAAAGTGGCAGAGTGACAGATCTTCACCTTCTGATTCAGCCCATTGGTTGTGGCTGGGCTAGGTGGGAGCCAGGAGCTGCCTTTGGGTCTCCCATGTGAGTGCCAGGGGCCCTGGGCCACCTTCTACTTTCCCAAGCACATTAGTTGAGACTGGAACTGGTACTCCTGGGGGGTTTCAGGCAGGAGTTTAGCCCACTGCTTCATGATGCTGACCCCCAAATGCAACTTTCTCCAACTGTCATGAAGCAGTGACTTCTTGACTGATTGTGTGTGATGTCTGTGTCCACCTCATTGTTTGCACTGGCAGCTGTCACTCCTCCACTTGGGTCCCCTGAGACTGAGGCCCAGCAAGGCCCAGGACACCTCACCTGGTTTCTCCTGTTGGGCTTTGCTGCTTGCCCTGATGGCCACAGCGACTCTGTTAGGGGTGAGTGGGTGGAAGGTGGTGACTCCGCCCGGCCTCTGCTTTTGAGTGGGCTGTTGTCCAAGGGCAGCCACGGTTGAGCCTGCCCTTCCCGGGCTGGGTCCCATTCTTTCTGCTCAATTTGATGCACGATTTCTCCTCTCTGTTTCCACTCCTTTTCCTTTAGACCTGATAGTGTCAGAAAAAAATCTACCTGTGTATTCCAGGGCATGAGTGCAAGGATTTCTTTAACTTTTCTTTCTTTATTTGAAAGTTGGAGGTACAGAGAGGGAGAGATCAACATCTTCTATCCATTGGTTCACTCCCCACAATGGCCAGAGCTGAGCC